CATTTTTTAATGTTTATTCCTTTTTGAGAGACAGAGAGAGACAGAGCATTAGCAGGGGAGGGGCAGAGAGAGAAGGAGACAGAATCTGAAGCAGGCTCCAGGGTCTGAGCTGTCTGCACACAGCTTGACGTGGGGCTCGAACTCATGGACCATGAGATCATGACCTGAGCTGTAGTTGGACGCCCAACCGACTGAGCCACCCAGGCACCCCTGATTTTGATTTTCTAAATACTCAGAAAAGCACATCATAAAGTCCTTTTGCCTCAATGCTCCTTTTTCCAACCCTAATAACAACTTCACGTGCTCCTCAGACACAGACCATGCAATGTATTCAAGAAAATTCAAACCAGTGATGTGGTATTCTATGTGAAGATTTTTTTTTCCCTCTTGTATGTGCTTAAAAGAAAAAAAAAAAAACAACATTTTTCCAAAAAAGAAAACAAATTTGCATGTGAAAGCAAAGTCTTTAAAGTGAATTACTATTCCAGAAAACTAAGCTAAGAGAATGCCATAAAAAGAACCATTTCCCTTTTTTGCTCCCGTCCTGATAACGGTGACTCAGCACATCTTCAACAGAGAGAGTCAGATCAGGAGGAAAATGTTCTACTTAGTAGGGTCCTGACCAGGAGGAGCTGGGCATTTTTCTTTGCATTATAACCGATAGGAACTTTATCTATAAATCCTGGGCAAGGAATGTCCAGAATAACCACACTTCATGAGCTTTGCTGAGTTTGAGACGTCTACATAGCAACAGTCTCGCGATGGGGAACATTAATGCTTTTTATATTGGTGATCAGCTGTAACATGAGCAATTAAGTACAGTACTAATGGACTATGGCCAGGAGCCTGGTACTAATATTAAAAACTGACAGAGATGAATAGGTTTGGAAGTAAAACCAGGCTGACAAAGACATTTTTATGAAGTGCTTGGACCTATTTGATTTAAACCAATCAGAGGCAAGTTTGGACGAGTCTGGCCTTCAGCAACAATGATGCATTCACAGGCATTGTACCATTTCTGCTGTGCCTTAAATAAAAACACTCATTGATTCTTTTCAACAACCCACACTTTCATTATTACACTCATTAATAAACCAAGAGTGCCGAGTAACATACAAGTAATATTCACTGAGGAACGGGCTACTTTTTTCTTGTTGGAAAATGAAAACATTTACTGGAAACATGAACCACACCACACAAAAAATAAATCAGTGGATAATGCCTACTAGATCACTCATTTCTTCATCTTCTAGGAAAGCAAAGCTGGTGGTAAGGAAATAGGAAAAAGACTGAGTCTCTATACCGGAGTGAAAAGAGTGAAAAGAGTGAAAAGAGTGTGACTGAATGCACAGGGGGAACTCGGTCATTCTGATCTGACCGGGAAGGTTTGACAGATTTCCACGGGCATCTCCGGACTAGACGTTTGCCCACAAGACCCTGATCTTTTTCAACTTCTTGAACCTTCTTGAAAACGGTGGCCATTCCCCAATCTAGACCTCTCTGTTCTGTGTTAGCATGCCTGTAATTAGCAAGAAGGAAGGAAATCTGCCAAGTCCCTAAGCACAGTTGTGGCTGAGAGCTTCAGGCTCTTCTCTGACCCAAGGAGAACTGTTTCTAGTCACTGGACAAATCTCGGTGTCCTCTGCCTTTCTCCCGTAGAACCGTTAAAGAGAATAAAGATGTAAGACATCTGGAGCACTTGCCCCAGACCTTTCTGCCTACCACAACACACAGGAGCATGGGTGATTCCTTTCAGGATCATGAAAGTGGAGCCTCTTTTTTTTTTTTTTTCCAGAAAAAGTCAGTTATCTGCAAATTTTAGTGCTTCACTATTATTAATTACTAATCACTCAAGACACCCTTTGTATCTGATCACGACAATGTGAAAGGGGCCTAGATAGTGAAAGGATATCCAAGGAAGGATGCTAACCACCCTGGGACAAGGTTTCTGGCTCTGTGCAGAGCTTTCCATGTTGGGGGTCCCACTTGTCAGCTGACTATTGATCGTCTCAGCTCCAAACCTACTCTTCTGTGTTCTGGGACCGGAGTCCCGCCCATTACATGTCTCTTTTGTCAGTTGTCTTCCTTTTGGGGTTCTGCAAATGGGGCCATAGCAGGCCAGGGGAGGGGTGGAAGTCCCTCCTTCTTTCTAATTTGTTCGCTGCTCATTTCAGGGCCAACCCAACAGTGATGTAGCAGCAGCAGTTGGTTCCAGCCTCTAGCTTCTTTCGACAATCCCAGAACTATCACCCTCCATTTGCTCTGGGGCCCAGCACCAGCTAGGGAGCACTCCCTCCTCAGGTCTGAGCTAGCTCCGCGATGCTCCACCTCTGAGCTCAACCACCAGCACTGGTTGGGAGCCTCCCCGGGAAGGAGGGATCTTAACCCCAACTCTGTGAGGCATACTCTCTAAACTTGTGGGTGGCAACAGCCTCTCCTCTAGGCCCCAGGGAACCTGTGGTTATTACCTCCGTGTTAACATACAACTTCACAAAAACAGTGGTTTAAGCAAGTCTCTACGTCAGTTCTCTTTGTTGAATACCTAGTGTGGTTTTTATTGTCCTTACTAGATCCTGACTGGTAAGCACTGACCAAACAAATTCTCGATTTAGAAGAGTGAGTGACCTAGCATCTCAAAAGTATTTAATCCAGTGGGACACCAAACCTTCATGAAACATCCCCTTTACTCCCAAGAATGAGGAGGGAAGAGAACTTTTTAAGAATGTTAAATAATGTTGTATAGTTGCTAAAGTGTAAAGTATCTCTCCTAGAATTTTCCAATTTGACTGACTGAAGGCATTTGGGATTTTACTACTGCGGATGAGGTATGTCATGCAACTAAGTACAGATCTTGGTATCTCATTTAAGATTGAGGCTATTTTTATCTACACCAGTACTTGAGTTAATTACACACACACATTCACTGTATTATCAGATCCAATCTTTTTTCCATCAAACCCAATCTGTTTTTTGATCATGTGATGCTTTGTAATACGTTTAATATTCATCCTTAAAGTGAGTGAAACAGCTGAGATACACTCTTTTTGCAAATTTTAACTGCTGTCTGGTCCTTTACGCTTGATGGTTCAGGTGTTGGGAACATTTGCACATGGAGGTATGGGAGGTTCACTATCATAATAGAAGCCCTTTGAAAATACAGATGGTGTTTCTAAGGAAAATGTTCTGATTAAAGCCTTGAATCATAAGTCAAAAATAAGTTGAATATGTTACCTTAAGTGCTCTTAACACAACACTCACCTGAGATATCTATGCTATTTTGTATTAGGGTTTCAGTGGTGTACCTGTTATGTACAGTGAGAATGTAGGCTGTTGTAGTAAATACTGAGAGAAGTAACACTCACATTTAAAAAAATGATGTAGGATACTAAAAATAAAAGGCTAGGAAGAGTAATAATTTGAATTCCTGTTACCATTTTAAAAAATCCTTGTGGACTGTAACAGCACATAAGGCAATCCCTTAGGAATACTTCATGGGGATTTTTCCATGGGCTACTAAACCCAACCTAGTTTACTAGGTTATATCGACCAAAACATTCTAGGCTTCATGGAATGGCTATACTAAAAGAGACTCTACGCTGAATGCAACACAGATAAAAATTTAATTGAACTAAAAAAAAATATGACTAAGAGTTGATGCTCCAGATGACATTATCTGAGGATGCATTTGTATGATCCAAAGCCAGGTGTTGGGCATCTGGGATGAAATTGGAATGGTAACTCACATGTAAAAGGCAACCATCACATTAGGCAGTTATGTTTTACCTTTCAAACTAGCAAGCTAACTGGCCTGTTTGTTCAGCTGTGTCTTGACTTCATTCCATCCATGACTGTTATTAAAACATATGCATACACACACACACACACACACACACACACACCCCTCTACTTGGATCTGAATTTGAAACCAGTTTGCTGAGTCAGTCAACATTTCAGCAGGGAAATGCCAGAGATAGAGAAGTTGGTGTGACTTTAACACATTAAGTATGGACTAGAAGCGCAGAACAAGGATAATGCATGAATTCACTAACAGATCTGCAATGCTGTGGACAACAACAGTCCTCATGCAAAGAGGAAACACTCTTGTGGATACAACCTTCATAGTAGGCTAATTTGGCATTACTTCTTGTTTGCATGATCATCACCTTCTGAGAGAAGCTAAAAGTGTTAGAAAACTGAGCCATGCACGGCTTGGCAAGAAAGGATTTTCTTGGTGAAAAGCATAGCTGTAGAAGAAAAATACCAAGATGGGAAAAAAACAATGGATCTTATCTGGGACCAATTTTCTTATTAAAGAAATGCTTACTTTTCAATATTAACACATTCAACGTTAATACATTTCAATGTTAACACATTTACATGGCAACCTCATAGTAACACTGCAGACTTAGGATTTCCAGAAGTGGAAGGTTCTCACAGTAAATGAACCTACAGAAAACATACTGAGTAGTCTAGGCTTGTGTTGGGGGTGGGGGGGAAGGCATTGTCAAATAGGTGGTCACAGGATAAAACCAAACTAAAAGAACATCTAATTTTAGCCCCGGTAACCAGAGAGAGCCACGTCCCTTAAAAAACCCCAAGGCGGTATGCAAGGTAAATGCCAGGGGATATTTTCTATTTCCAATAAAGTCCTTTAGACTTCTCCTTACCCTTCACCAGAAGCTGCTTCCAATTAACACACTTTTAATTAAGCAAGGGCTTTCTAAGAAAGGGCTTTTTTTTTAAGAGTAAAATTCATGGCATGTGAATTATATCTCAACTTTTATTTTTTTAATGTTTATTTTTGAGAGAGAGAGAGCATGCACGAGCGGGGAAGGGGCAGAGAGGGAAACACAGAATCCGAAGCAGCTCCAGGCTCTGAGCTGTCAGCGCAGAGCCCGACGCGGGGCTCGAACTCTCAAAGTGCGAGATCATGACCTGAGCCGAAGTCGGGCGCTCAACCGACTGAGCCACCCAGACGCCCCCAAGAAGGGGCTTCTTACCTTTCATAATGTCTGCGGGTGCAAGTGGCGGCGCTGGTGCTGCCAGGATTACCACCTAATTCATCATAAATATGTTTCCATTGACGCCGGGCTGTTATCTGAAAAAGTGGCAATGGGAAATTCAATCTTCATCATAAGAGATTCACAGTTCCAGGATTCAATACATATGCAACAGGCAGAAGAGAACAGCCTGTTCTGGAAACCCAGAAACAGAGAAGTCCACACGAGTATATGGGGAGACTCGGGTTTTACAGTGAGATCTCTCCTTTAGCACTTTTCTTTATAATAAAAACGGAATTCTGCTTTGGGCTCTGTTTTGTCACCCTAAGGCATCTCCCTGGACATTTATGAAGCTAGTTCCCCCCGGGGTCCCAAACTCATACTCTGTTCCTTTATGTCAGTGTGAGGAAGCATCCAAATAAAATGAGATTTCAGCGAAAATATCAGTTTAAGAGAACCAGAATTAACACCGGTTGCTTAAGGAGCAGGGAAACGGGTGCCCAAGGACGTAGGAAAAGAGGGAGAGTTTTCACTAAACGTGCTTTTGTATCTTCTGATTTCTGAACTGTGTGATGCGTAGACTACTTCAAAAACTAAATGAAATTACTATGTAAATTAATTAAATTGACCCAATTGGTTGTGGGATTTGCAGTCATCTCAGGCTAAATGGTTATGCCAGCTCCTCCCACCACCCAAACAAAACCCAAATCTCCAACTGTGTATGTTGCGAGCTGTTTGTTTTTATTCACTTAGGTCAGGAAAGTGGGATATCCATCAAATCCTACGAAAACGAGCAAATTCCAAAGCTAAAACGCAAGCTCAGTCTACTGTTGAGTTGGGTGAATAAAACCAAACAGCTTGCAATATACTGATGGCATGCTATGGCCCTATTTCCTTTTTTTCTTTAATTTTATTTTTGTACATAAATTAAGACTTTACAAAATAGCAGATGCATGATCTGGCAAATGATTAATTTGGGGAAACCACGTCATTTACTAACATCCGAGCAAGTCTAGTATTTCCTTGAAACCAGGAGACAGAATGCATTCTGAGGTCCTTGTGGATGTTTCCAAACAGAGTTACAGGAAAACGCTGTTATTGGAACGTGCAGGGGGCAGGGCGCTGCACAGGTGCCAGTGGCACTGGATACAATCAGAGTAGGAGGCTTCTTTTGGAAAATAACCGCAAAGCTGCCAGCGGAGTTCACTTAGGGGCTGAAGGCAGCAATCCGAGGGAAAAAAAAAAATCTCAGCTCGCAAACAAGGGCTCGTAATTGTAATGGAAGGAGGAGGGGTGGTTAAATATTATAGGGTAAATGGCACCTTTTCCATCTCAAGTAAAGACCCCTTTATTTCCATAAACCCTGCTCGACAGGCCTGGGTAGGACCTCGAGACCATGGGAGCTTTGCATTGTTCAGCTTCCCACGAAGCATGCTTGAACCAAGTTGTGTCCATAGTCCTCTGTAGACAGAACCACCCTTTACATCTACTAGCAGGTATGGCTAAAAATAAAATCTTCCTTTATTTATAGCTTGCTTTAGATTATAATAAATGGTTTCAAGCCCCTTTCAAAACACTCAGAATATGTGTTTTAGTAATCATTTTACATTTAATTACAATCTCCCCCAATCTTTTTAATAATACCATCTCAGGCTGGTCTGTTTGAGACCTGTTGAGACCTCCCCTCCCATATGTCCATGTTATTCCTCCAAGCCCTTAAGATACTGAGGACTCTTGAAACACACCTCCATATTCCACCCCCCCCCACCCCCACTTCAGATGGGGTGGGGAGCCCGGTAAGGCCAGAAGACAGCCTATGTAAGTCCCTGCAATCACTTCAGAGGAAACCATCGCTCTTGTCGTCCTTTATCTCTTCTATGCACTCTATTTCATATATTTTTTGAAAATGTATTTATTTATTTTGAGAGAGCGCGTGAGTGCAAGCGGGGGAGGGACAGAGAGAAGAAGAGAGAAAATCTGAAGCAGACTCTGCACTGTCAGCACAGAGACCAACATAGGGCTTGGTCCCACAAACCATGAGATCATGACCTCATGAGCCCAAATCAAGAGTCAGATGCCCAACTAACTTGGGTCACTCAGGCTCCCCTCTACTTCATATTTTATAAAGAGTTTTCACATGCTTGATTATCACTTCATCCTCCCATCAGCCTGTGAGGTAGATTAGAGGAATCTCGTCACAGATGAAGGAAGCAAGACACAGAGAGGTTGCATGACTTGGCCAAGGACACACAGCAGTAGAATGGCAATGCCAGAACTCATAGCTTAGGATCCCAAGAGCAGACTCCTTTCATGACATCAAAATGGTGTCCACATCAGATTGAGCTGGTGAATAGCCCATGTGTGTAGCAGGGTGATAATACAGAACTCTGGGGACCTTTTGCTTCAAGTGAGGCAGAGGACTGTGGAAATCATAGCTTCTGCTACAAGTTGTCAACTATAAGCTGTGGGTCTCTTACTAGGGGGGAGATAGTGCAGCAAAGAGGTCAGCAGGTATCTAAGGGGATGGGTTAGGTTAACAGTGCTCTGAGATTTTACTCTCAGTAAGTAAAACTATGGTTCCTCTGACCCTGCCCATGTGTGTCTCTAGTTAGAACAGAGGTTCTATATGTCCACCACTGAATCACAGATAACTCTCAATCATATTGGAATCCTTCTACTTACTCCCCCAGGCACCAGACATTTCTTGAACATCTCCCATTGGTTGAGTACTGTGCTAGCAGCTGGGACAAAACAATGAAAACCAGACCCAACACCCAACATGACCATATCCTAGTGTCTGTGTGTGTGGGGGGGGTGGGGTGGGGTGGGGTGGGGAGGGATAACAAAAATAAAGAAGGGACGGAATAGATAAGCAAAATAATACAGGTTGTGAAAAATGTAATGAACAGGAGACCACTGGTGATGGGATATTTAATGTGTGGAAACTGACCATGCCTCCCTCCCACAACCTATCATCTAGACTAGGGAGTAGTACCCTGTTCAACCCTGGCCTATCACAGAAATGACTGACTTCTTTAAGAATAAATAATGAATTATCAAAAGGAAAAAACAATCTTCCTCATACTAGGATTGAAACCGGCAGCAGGAGGCCAGCATCAGGTCCCATTTGGCATTATAAGTATGTGTGGCTGGCCAGGGGTCTGTGTTAGCCCCTGCTGTAGCAGGTGCTGGTGTTTAAATACAGTTTTTACAAGTGAAAGTTCATCTGGAGCAAAGACAAGGGCTGGGCCTTCCAGGAAGTGGTCCCTGTTTACCAAGCTTCCACAGGCCGGCCTGGATGAATCAGACCGTTTTGAGATATTTTCTTTCCACAGGAAAGTCATAAAATGTGCTCTTTCCAACTGCTAAATGATTTTATGCTTTTAAGTGCACAGTGCTCCTGGGTACACATCTCCATTTTTTGTGTCCAGATGCGCTTTTAATTCAAATGCTGCCCATGGGCTTTAAACATTTTTTTTTTATTTTTTTTTTCACCGTTTATTCATTTTTGGGACAGAGAGAGACAGAGCATGAATGGGGGAGGGGCAGAGAGAGAGGGAGACACAGAATCGGAAACAGGCTCCAGGCTCTGAGCCATCAGCCCAGAGCCTGACGCGGGGCTTGAACCCACGGACCGCGAGATCGTGACCTGGCTGAAGTTGGACGCTTAACCGACTGCGCCACCCAGGCGCCCCTGCCCATGGGCTTTAAAGCAAGAAATGTCTAAACCTTCCCATTGTCTAAACCCACAGTGGGTCCCAACGCCCTATAAGGAGAGAAGAAAGGACACAAGAGCCCCGCCTGGCCCAGCCACCGGGCATCGGGCTCCCACCTGTACAAACCTGCCTCCTGTGAGAGTCTGTGTTCATCATGCCGAAGTGTGCATTTGCTTAGGGTTGTTATTCTGTTGTCCAGAATGTGTGTTAGCTTTAAAACCCCATTTGGGCAAAACCAGTGTCTGCCTAGTAGTCCCCAGCCCCACTCAGCTGGGAAGTTTGATACCGCCATGGGGTGAGCTTTACTAACGCTTTCATTAAGCCGAGGCTTCCTGGTTATGTACACGTTTCAAACTGACCTCATATTATTTTAGGTTTTTAAGGACACAAAGGACTTCTGGCTCTTTGTTTCCTCAAGAAAATGGTCAAATTTTCTCAAGCAATGATTTCTCTTAGCTTGTGCTTCTCCTGTGATCTCCTTCAAGATCCTCATTTAAATGTTAGGGATTCATGACATCAACCCATCATCTACTGCTTGTCATTTTAGGGCCCTGTGCCAGGTACAGAAAAGCATAGAGGTAGAAGGTAGAAGGTGGAGGGTGGAGGGTGGGGAGATACCATGAAAACAAAGAGAAGTTGCTGCTATCAAGGGTTCATGATTTAGCAGGAAGCATAACCCCATACAATTAACCATAAAGCAAGATGAAAAACCGAACAGACCACACCCAAGTAAAACAAACCAATGTAGGTATACGAGAGACTTAATCTCACTTTGAAGACGCTTGACAGTTACTTCTTTCCCCAGTGTGGGGAAGACCCAAGAAACTATGAAAAGCTCTATACCTATTATGTGCATTAAGTTTCATTGCTTCTAAATATAGTCGTTTTCAAACTGTTCTTTAGAAGCCAAACTATGTTAGAGGTGGCTTGAAACCAGCTTTCTAAATGCTCACCTCTGCCAAGAAAACAGGTCCAGAGAGTGGGAAGGGAATCTTCCCCTTCTCTACGTTCCTGGATGGATATAGGAAAATATCCTGTCACTTAAAAACAAAACAAAACAAAACAACAACAAAAAAAATGGGGAAACTATTTTCACCCAAGGCACAGTCTTGGGGCTTTGGTTTCTCCAACCTTTGAGGTTGCAGGGATGAAATAATCTTGGAGTTTTTGTGGCTTGGTTAGGAAACAGCAATCAGAAATCTTGCAGGACTCGAGTGTGTCCAGAGCTTAAGAACGTAGGAGATGTGAACTCAAAAGGCACACTGGCCTGCGTGCAGTGTTACCCAGGCAGCTCTGAGAAACAGCCTCTTTCTCAGGACACCTTGAGGGCGGACTGAATTCAAGGAAGATGACTTTTTTTTCCTGGTAGTACTCCAGGAACTGGAGCCTTTCAAAACTGCATGACATCATCTTTGGCCTCGAGAATTTTGAATTAAGCAAGAGGCTTTGTCCGTCCAGAGTACTAGGGTTAGATTCAGAGGGTGTCTTGAAATGATGTCAAAGCCGGAATCTGGTGTCAAAGCCTAATCCTTCCAGCGAGAAGACACGTGGCTTCTTCTTCCAGATGAGAAATAATGGTCCTGTCTCACCCATGGGGAGAGGCGGAGCTGCTGACATTCTTAGAAGGCACCCCTTGCATGGTCTTTTGCATCTAGAATAAGATTTTCTCAAGACCCATTTCCCTACTCTACCTTCTCTCCAAATATTGCCTCTGGTTCACCTTCAAATGGTTAGCCAAATGAAAATCACTTTAGCAAACTACCTTCAACACACCGCATCCTGGTAATACCCCAAGCTACTCTTCAAGCTTTAATTGCTTCACCAGACACTGAAGTGAAGACCTCTTTAGTTTAGCTCATCAGTGTGGCTCTATTCCGTTCTGCCTCCTCAACTGTAGGTGACCCATATTCTAAAATGTATGGAAGGATGCATGATTATAAAGGAAAGGATCCTCATTGCCAACCGATCAAAATGCCAGGATATTGTTTTTTAGGGAATCAAATTCATTCATTACATTTATGATCTCGACCTAAGGAGGCACAGACACAAAATCCATTTCCAGCAAAGACAGAGGAGGCCAAGAGAACTGAATATAGCCATTAGTCGAATGCTTATAAAGGCTTAAAATAAAACCTTTGCTCCTCTTTTTTTTTTAATTCAATTTGAGGGTTATGAAGGACTGAAATGAAATAATCCATAATCCGCAATTCAAACCAGAAGGTTTGGAATAGTTTATAACCACAAACAAAAACAAGCCAATTAAGATGGCCTCTTTTTATAACCAGAAGGAATTCCAGAGAGATGTCTTTATCCAATCACAAGTTAACAGCAGGAGAGATACATCCACAAGTTTTAAACTTGCAGTTTTTTTACTGTTACCGAATGTTTACATCATGCAGACTTCTTGACCCATCTCCTAAGTTCACACATTTTTCTCAAGACTCAGATAAAATCTCAGCTAATAGTGTGTCCAGTTAGGCTCAGGTTAGTTCCAAAGAACTCACTGTAAGATGCTACCAGTGAAGGTAGGTTATTAGATGCTTTTCCCAAAATATCACTGGAAATATGGAGAAAGCATTGTACACATACCTAATTGACTGCTGAGGATGGAAGATATAAACACTGGTCATTTATATATGAAGGATGGTCTTTCCTTTCAGTGTTGCTATGGAGCTTGAGGCAATTGTGCACAAAATTCTCAGCAAGTCAGAATTTGAAGAAGTCCGTAATGACCCCATGCAACTCATTTCACTTCTCTGTGCCTCAGTTTCCTCATTTATAAAACGAGGGTGTGGGCTGGAGCAGGGCAAGTATCTTTCTCTGCACAAAGGCCTATTTGCAAAAAATAAAAATGTTCTGATGCTAGGCTTTCCTGCATTCAAAATGAAAATGGTTTATCGAGTCCCAATGTAGCTAGATTACCACTTTACCAAATGGAAAAACCTTCGCTGGAAAGTTTGTGCTGCTTGGGAGCCAAAGGGATGTTAATACTCTGGCTTGCTTCTTTAGTAATGGTGTGAAGACAACTTTCTAATCTTTGATACTTGACTTAGATGGGGCCACATTTTGAAGCTGGGAGTCATGAGGGCTATTAGGCTAACTGGGAATAATCTGTTACCATTAGCTTTGAATTAACATCCCCTGGACAGCTTATAAAAAAGGATTCTTGGGTTCTTAGGCCCAGGGCCCACCACAGAGTTAATATCTCAGTGTGGAGGTCTAGACAGCTACGTATGCTTTAAAGTTCCCTTTGAAAATTTGAGCCCCAGTCGTTGAATAGCCTTTGGGAACCACAGATCTAGAAGATTCCAAGATCTCCTTTGAGCTCTAATGACAAGTCTACACTTGCATCTGATATCAGATAATCTCACAGATAAATGTCTTTCAGTAACACAGTGATGACAATTTAAGTCCTCAGACTGGATCTTACTCATACGTCTGCTGGACTGATGTCAAAACTGAATCCTCACTGAACATCTCATTTTGTTTATTGGCCCAATTCTACCAATAGAAAAGTGTATTCTGTACTTAGGTTCAAAAGCTTCAATGGAGCAAGGGAGTTGCAAACTTCAGTGCCTACAGGGACAACAAGGTAGCATAAGGCATTAAAAAAATAAAAAGGAAAGGAAGGAAATAAGGAAGGAAGGAGGGAAGGGAGGAAGGACAAATCCTACCAAACTGGCTTCATCCAGTTGATGACCCTGGATGTAGATTTTAGAGTAAGAGGGCTAAGTAGATTCACCGTCTCAGATGTGATGTTAGAGCTGGGGGTGAAGAATGGCAGGGGCCCAATGAACAATGAGGGAGTTGGTGGGTAAATAGGGAAGGAGGAAGGGAGCGATTCCAGAAGTTGCCAGTCCCCTCTGTGGCTTGGCAAAAGAGGCTCGAAGCTCGTGACCACATGAAAAGCAGATGCCGATCTGGTCTCCCCTGTGCCCCCACCGCAGCCTTTCTCTCCTGCACTCCACCTACATAGAGTGAAGGCACAGCACGTGGCAAAAGGGAATGCTTAGCTTGTTATAAATCTTCTATGCATTGCCTTCCATCCCTCCGCTCGTCCCCAGCCTACAGAATAATCCCAGGGCCTACCATCCCAAAGCCTTTTCTCACTGGGCTGCATCCTCTCTGGACTCCCCTTCAAGGTCACTTGTCCCAGCCACCTGGTCACTCTAAGTTATTCAGATTCTCCATGTCCAACATTATTCCACCTCCACACTTTCTTCCCCGCTTTGGCTTTCTCTTCCTGCAAGACCATGATCATTCATGTCTGAATTCTATCTATCCTCCAAAATTCTGCTCGAATGACATGAGAGTCACAAGCCTTCCTTCCCTCATTTCTAAATGAAATAGTACTTTACTTGAACAGGGAATGGACCTTTTTCCACTTGTCTTTTCATTATAATTACTGCCTCTCCTGGATGGTAAGCAACTAGAAACACTGGGGTAGATATTTTTGCATCTTCTAGAGTGTGTAGCACAATGCCTCCAATATGTACGACTTAATAAGTATGTGTTCTGGTGATGTGCTGATTGCGTGGCCATTCATTATTTCCCTCATTCAACAAAAGAGAAGATACTGTGTGTTCGATATACTGCAAATGCCCTGAAACTAATCAGAAGTTTCTTTTGTGTATTCTATACCAACTTGCCGTTGCATGGCAAAAAAATAGATCCTTGTGAAGATACAGAAGATACAAAAGCAGGAAAAACTGATTCTGTGAAATTTGTTGGCACTCTCCCTATCAGCAGGCAACAACAAATTTCTGGGTTTAAAAAGACATTTCATAATATTGTGCAGTATCATGTAACTTATCTACAGTTCATAAAAATGTGTATTCCTATTCTTAACATCAAGAGTTAGGCTTAAAAATCTAAGCTATGGGGCTGACTCCTGAATTCATGAGACTAAGTTATTTTTTTTTTTCACATGGACAAAAGCTATAATTAGCTTAAGATTTTGCAAAACTGTGAGCCACAGTGGCAAGGAGTCAACCTCTTTGTCCTATCAACAGACCCAACCAAGTGAAAAATTTCATTATTTATTTTGTACAGTGGGTGCTTGATAAAACAAATATTGTAAGGAAATCCATGTCTATGAAATGCACATTTTATATGTGCTTCATATGAGCATTTTCTTTCTTTATAAACTTTATTTCTTTATAAACTGGTACTAGTACCTCCCATGTATTAAATGAATATTTTTACACACACACTGACTCACATCTTAAGAGTTTTTAGTCAGAATTCACAGCAGGGATTTCTACAGTAAATACCAGATTATCCGAATCACATCATGCCTGCCATCTTTTCCCGTTCCAACCCCATGACATCAAACCATTATATTAGTTTGTGGAGTAATATGCTCTATCTGGCAAGACACACTAGTTATTATGGTGGGGCTAAAATGAATTTCATTTTCTTGACTTTGTGTCTCTTATTGTCATTTTACTAAGATACAGAGATATCCCAGGTTACCTCATGAGGAGAGAAAAAAAATAATTTCTTATTCAATTGCAGAAGAAACTGCACAACTTAATCTGATCATTGTGTGGAGGAGAAAATATTTCCAATGACGACATCTTCCTATGTCAATTGATTTTATTACAGATATCATCTCTGCGTGCTCTATTAATACAGCTCTTTCTTCTTTCAAGATTTTAATCTTAGTTTGTTGCTCTCACATTTTATTGGTTCAAAATACAGGCTGTAAAATCCGTGGCCATCAAATTTTCCTGTGGGCTAAAAATAACCCGTTCCTGTCAGTTAGAATTAGCTGATAAAGAGTGTCAGAGCCTGTTCTGAATAAGTTTGATAACTTCCTGTTTATGCGGCACTGACCCTTGTCTAATAAAGCTTCTTTGCCCTAGAATAAGAGGAGATTCTGCTGTCTTCTATTCCTTAATGGCCAATACTGATTACTTTTGAAAGCCTTTAATACATTTCCCATATTAGACATGAACAGATGTCAGGTATGTTGCCAAGGGAAATTTCTTTTATGCAATCTTGGCTTGTTGTACAATAATAGCCCTTTCTCAACATGGGAAAAAATTACAGACCCAACTAATTTCCCTGACAGGGGGAGAGTTACATATGTTTTCCACTTGTAGTTTTTACGACAAGTTTACAATTTTGCCAAACCTGGAACTAATTGGGATCGTTTCCAAAAGCGGCCCAATAAACCCCCAAAAGTGTGGAGCCATTTGAAAAGGCAGTCAATGACGGTTTACTCTTGCATTTTCTCCATTTTGGTCAAAGGAGGGGTGGGGGGAGTTAGGTTGCAAAATTATTTCATTTAAGTTGCTTAAACACTTACTGTTTCATATCCTCCCAGTTTTTGAGCAGCTTGAAACATAGTCCAAAGGTTAACTGTTAGAGGGACAATAAGTATTTAGATAAGCATTGCATTAACATATTTCCAAGAAATGTCAATTAAAACATTTTGTTTTGTTCTGATTTCAATGAGAAAGAGAAAAAAAAAATACGAGTACCCCAGAGAGCTAAGTTCTTAGGCAACAATTTGCCAAAGGGCATTCAACACCAGGATATATTATTACCACTTAAAATATTTCTTAAGAAACAGTTGCAAATACAGAAATGGTTCTACTTTGAGGATAAAGGACAACACAGTCTTAGTCCTGTGGCCGTCAGCCGACCAAGGGAAGCTAGGTTATGGTGTCCTTGGGAAAAGTGTGGCATTTCAAAATTAGGGTTGGTCTTATTCAACCCTTAGAAAGAAGCCATTGATTAAACGGTAATATATAATGCTTCCTTCAGATAAGACCTTTGCATAATGAAGAAATAACAGCCACTTTCATACATGATTATGTTTTCAATAGAATGTCTGAAGGCAGCACTCCATTAAGAACTCATACAGTATTTCACTAACGCGTGGTGCCTTGTAACGAGTAGGAAAAAAGTATTTCACCCTAGAAGTAGCAGGGATAGAACACATCCAAGGGGAGGAAGCTCCTCATTCACAGAAGAATGGAGTCCTTAGTTCTAGTCCCCTAACTTGTCTGTGTGATGTTACAAATACATACTTTTTTAAAACAGATTTCTCTTTGCAGGTTTGCATACGTTTACGCTGTTAAACGACTGTGCCCAACTGCTGGCAATCCTGTTTGTTTGTCCCAGACACCATGGAATGGGACTGCTATGGATTTGACTCTTTTACAAGAGGGGAAAATTGAATTTCAAGTAATTCCTTGGTAAGGGAAATGGAGAATAAAATTAAAATTAAAAAAAGAAAAGGCTCTTTGACACAACACGTTGGAAAAGCCTCACTGAACCTTGCACTATTTCAAAGCTATCGAGAGCCCTGCCTCGGCCTTGATTTGATCTGAACCAATGCATAATGCAACAAAGCTGTTCATAGTACATTAATTTTACTTCTATTTCAAGCAACCAGTTTTCAGACAAACATTGTAATCATTCGTAGTTATATAAGTTTATAATGGCTGCGAGTGCTCTCTTGCAATCAGTGCCAACTGCTATTAGGTATGTAAATTGTTATGTAAAACATACAGGTTTGACATTCTTCATCAAAATGACACATGGTTTTAATCTAGGAAGATACGTTTGGAGAAAATACGATTTCAAGCCAGGGGCTCATTGCTTTGTGTGCCACAAAATCCAGACAGAGGCAAAATATATATTCAGTTGTGAAATCAGGACCGGATCTGGGTTCCTTCTCTTTTTCTATGGAATTCTGCTCAGCTATGAGTTTCCTTTTCTAGTTAAAAATTTATTACGATGCTTAAAATGTGCATGTCAAAGTAGTTCAAAATCGGGCTTTCGGTTCAAATCTGTGTCTTTCATGTTTCCTCTGAAGTCAGGTTTTTGTTATCTCTTAACAAATTTGGGGCTTAGGAAATATGTTTTCTCTTTCTGATTGTTTTGTCCACCTTTAAATGTCCTCCTCTTAAAAGCCGTCTTTTCACAGGCAACATCTGTGCCCGATAAAGCGACGTCATATTATTATCTCAGAAGAAAGGCGTGACAGACACTCAAGATTGACAAAACAGAAAATGAGAAACTTTCAACATGTCTATTTCCAGTCATAATCAGTGGATTCAAGCCTATAAATATCTCACTGCAACTGCCCCAGAAGGGAACAATGTAGCGGAAAGAGGCAAGGAGAAACATTCCTGGCCTGGATGATTTGTAGATTTAGTATAAACACAGAGAGCATCATCCCCAGATTAGGATTTCGACATAATCCTGAGTCAAAACTGTTTTCCAGTTTAAAGCATACGAGTAGCGTTGATATTTCAGAGATGAAAACAAGCATACTTACTCTGTTTAAAACCTAAATAGGGTATTCGCTCTATTGGCGTCTTCCTTTCTTTCATGTATTTATAAAGTGCCACCAGGAAAGCCTGTTCATCTGCCCTGCACTCTTCACCAATGGCAACCTTTGGTTTTTCTTCATTTGAGACTTTTTTACAGTTATTAGGGTTATTCTTCGGCTTGGACAAGGCTGACCTGGCCTCACATTTCACCTGGAAAAGGGGGGGAAAATATGCCACATCAAATCAAGTACAGCCTCAGGATGCTTACAAAGACACAGCCAGTGACAGCTTGCACTGTGTGGGAAGGGTGAACCAGTAAATTATCCTTGTCCTGAAGTAGCTTTTTAAAGGCAACACTGCATATGAATGGTCTCACACCACGGGGTAGTAAATTTCTGCAAAGGGCCAGGTAGTAAATAGTGCAGGCTTTTGGGCCAGAGAGTCTCTGTTGGAACTACTCAACTCTAGCACGAAAGCAGTCACGGACATATAAACTAATGGGTATGGCTATGTTCCAATAAAACTTTATTTATAGAAACATGTGGTAAGGGGGCCATGGTCTGCCCAACTGTGCCAACCTCTGTTAGAGTCCTTACAAGTATGTTGATACGATTCCAGAAACAGTGTTTGCATCTGGCTGGACCATTCTTTTGCCTCCTTATACACTTTATTTTCTCAAGGGGCATCAGCTGTTAATGTCATTGAACAAAACGTGTCTTTTTAATATATAGTCCCGTATTTTGCACTTTGTATCAACGTGAAGTGTATTACTTCTTCATAGTAAACTTATCTTGTTGCTAATGTTTCCAGCAACCTGAAAAAACACGTCACCACCAGCGGATGTCGGCATCAGGAACACCAGCAAAGTCTCTACTGTCTGTCACCTGAGGGTGATGCCCAGATGCACCCTCAGTAGGTAACAAAAGGTCCCACTCTTTAATGAGGGCTTCTTGTTTTTCAGTCAGCTCTGAGAATGCTGAAGATGCTAACTTGGCAAAGGCAAGAGTAGAGGTCAGCTAAAAACCAAAGAAGAGTTAAGTGGAAAGAGCCATGATTAGAAAATAAATGGCAGTAAATGTGCCAGATGTTCTTGCTTCCACACTCTAGGGCAAATATGGAACTCGGCAACCTGAGTGGCTAACCTAAGGTCCCCTCCCCACCGCCATGTTCTACAAGAGGCCTCTGATGGGTGTTAAATATAACGCTAAGTTGCTGAGCTATTTTAATTGTAAAAAGGGGAAGTACAAAGGGTCAGACTTTGAGTTCAAATGTGCCCATGGGGAATGTGTACAGTTCGATATTCTTCACATCTCCAGATCTCACATCGGAGAGAAGAGGGCTGGGGAATTGTTATGAACAAAAATGTCCCACATATTTGACATTGTTTTCCATTTCAGATTTTTGAGCCTTCTTTTTCTTCCCCTTCAGAGTCTCCTTCCCAGGCATTAAGAATATAAAAGCCTATGCTCATCTATAAAAGGGGATGGCGTCCTCCTGTGCACAGGGGTTTTCTTCACGTTGTTCTCTTAAGGGAATATGCGAGGTTAATATCTTCAGACTGGTTCTGGAAAAAATAAAACTTCCTGTACAACTCATTCGACTGGGCCCCTAGATAAGATTATAATTTTTAAGGGGCTGGTGGATATGGGATTAAAATAGTTTTCCACGTAGAATTTTTACTGACTGTATTTTCAAACCTTAGTACTTTGCCACATTATATTATGGCGAGCATCCTGTGAAAATTTATGTTGTCATCAGTTTTCACTGCCAAATTTTCGATGCAGTCTACAGTTCTGATGAAATCTATAATTTAATGGCTTTTTGAAATCATAAAATCATTCCAGTTTTTATCTGGATTGCCCTGGGCCTTTTGCGAGTGTGTACTATGTAGCCAGGCTCCATTCTAAGCCCTTTTTAGGTATTATCTCATTTTATGCCCATAATTCTAATGAGGCACGTTGTTATTCTCCTGTTAGAGATGAGGGGACTGAGGTACAGAGGTGATGAGTAACAGGTACAAGATCATGTCCAAGTTAGTAAGTGGTGAGTTTGGGATTGAGCTCTAGGGCCTGTGGTATCAAACACTATGATTTACTGACACTCAGAAAAAAAAATTAAATCGATAGTCAAAACGCACTTGCAATTAAAAGCATATCTTATTAGTGGGTGTTACAAAACATACAGCTTAGAAATATGATCTATCAAATGAGGAACAAAAGATGAAACTAGATGGTTTCCAAAGTATGAAACCAAAGGGCTCCATTCCTTCTATTGTATATCGAGCAAAGGGAAGGAAACCAGTATCCACTGAGCCCTGGCAGTGAGCTGGATACGGTGCTGTGGTCTCACACAGTCTCCTGAATGTTCGTTCGTAACAATCAGAAATAACAATCATAGATTAGCTCCATTTTACAGTTGAGGAAAATGAAGCTCAGTGACGTTATGTATTTTGTTACTTGGCGCATGGGGGGCAGAACTCTGGGTATGGACTCAGGTCTGCTTCACTCCAAATCCCAGTTTTGCCCAAACAGGAGTAGATACAAGATTTGCATATAAAACAGGCTGAGTCTTAAATGTGAAGCAATAATGGGCCATATATATATATATATATATATATATATATATATATATATTATTAGATCAGAAGCACCACTATTAAGGGAGTATGAGGTTTCCTTCTGTGTCTAGATGGCCGCCTAACCTTGTGCCTCAACTGTGCAGAAACACCCAGAAACAGAAGGAAAGCATGGCGGAGGTGCACAACCCAGGCCCAGAGTCATTCAGACTCCCTGCTTTGTAGAAAAGTCTCCTGGGAAAGCCAGGCTGCCACCTCCTGAACTCCATCCTGAACCTCAGTGGGCATCCCAGCAGGTCTCTCCTTGCAGGGGTGGGGGGAGGGGCACACATAGGCTTTGTAAGAAGTGAACAGTGGTTTCCTTTCTCAGACTCGCTCCATACATTTCTTGAGTTAACATAAGAGCCCCTTAGGCTATTATCCCATTTCTGGGTAGGACCTGGCCAAGTTACTTTCCACATTTTTCTCACATTTACCCCAAATATTCTCATTTTAACTTAACATTTTAATCTACTGCAGTTCCAATAGGAGCTAGTCTTCATGTTGACCTTGAGAATGCCCAATCTTTTGATGGTGACAGTTAATTACTCGATCTGTTTTTCCAACCTGAACACCTTATACTTGTTGAGTTCACTAAGAGCTTTGGGGTTTCTAAAGTGATTGAGGAAGTGCTAATTAAAGAATCCACATTTAATGTTTTCAATGAACCACCACCTATTTGATATTAACCACATCCTTTCACTGGCCTGAGTTATAACTGATCCAGCCTTCAACTGGGGCAGCAAGATGTGATGAACCAGCAAGAAAGAAGAGCCACAGTCTCATTTGGATTTGTCACTGACTTGGTAGGAGACCCTCATGTTCTTCCTCAGTAACGCAGGAAGGATAATCCCTGGGGGTCCCTGGGGGTTTGAGGACCAAACTGGATGAAAAATATTGAAGATAATGAAAGTATCACCTTTGTGAACTATCAAGAGGATGTTCCTGATTTAAATGTAAGAACATATGGCACACCATGGCTTCCCTTCTTTTGTTCCTTTTAGAGTCTAACCACCTGTTATATACTTCTGGCCTTTCGAAGGGGCTTACAGAATGTGAAGAGTTATTTGCCTCTTATTGGTGGAGGCCTTCCACTAGAGGCCTGGACTGAGGGATTTTCTTGCACAGATCACCGTATGAACGGGCTTGGGCCCCCCTCTGCTGCCATAATATGATCCTAGGGAAACAGCAGGATTTGGTTGGAGACACTTTCAAGACATCCTCAGAGAACCGGTAGCCTCTTCCCGTGTGTCTTTTGCTGTCTTTGGAAAGCCATGAAATTCTCCGTCCCTTAGAAAACAGTCTTGCAAAGCTGGTTTTTATGTTCTCATTGAGAGAGTGCAAATTTTTGATGGCGACAGGCAAATGGCTGCCATTGTTCTTCCAGCCATGCACACAACAGATCCAGGAGGTTCTCCCTCTAGAGAGCTTAGTGGGGTGTAGCTGCACGAAGCTGGGATTTATCCATGGTTAGAAATGGTCTGTTTGAGACACTTTTGTAAAACTCAGTCACATAGGTCTTGGTCACAAGGCCAAACTGTCACTTGAAACACTGCTTCCAGTCCAGCAAGTGATCAGACGGTCACAGGCTGTGGTTTCCATTCCAGTGTTTCATGAGGAAAGACTCCTTGAAGACATAAATGCCTCTCTAGTGGTTGTTCTGGGCCCAGACGTGGCTTGTTCATTCTGTAGAGACTTTACATCTGTCTGTTGGTGCCAAGAGACAAGCCCACCATACTTCATACCTATTCATCTCTTTCTTCTAGTAGAACTGATCTTGCCAGGCCGGTTGAAAGCAGCCAAGGCAAAACTGTAATCCAAGAGTCTGAGGAGAGCTGGGTGTTTAGACCAGTCCACCAGTGGGAGAGTGACCCACCTCCTTGTAAAGATACTGAATGGAAGCACTGGTGGGAGGGGGTGGAAAGGGTCACTTAGAAAACCCAGGTTTGACCACTATCCCTCCTAGGAAGTCAGTGAACATCGCATACAGAGCAGGTTTGTGTTCTCTTCGGTTTTGTGGATCCTAGTGTGAGTCTTGAGCTGCCTTCCATGGTGAGAAATATTGGAGGTGCTGTTCTTTCAGATCAGTTTGTAGGAGTTTTGTAAAATTCCCAGAGGCATACTTCCTTAGTAGCTCCAAATGACATGGGAAGGAGCTTCATCCTGCTGGGCTCAGGTACAGAACATACTGGGGTAAACACATGATGTCACCTTGGAGGTATGAGGCAGGGTGCCAACATGAGACACTGGCAGTGCAAACTCTGTGCAATGCAAAGATCCTAAAACCTTCTCGCTTCATTCTATGGTATCTTGCAAACCACATCACAGGGAATAAACTGTTCCTGCTGACATTCTTCAAGACTACGGAAGCTGATAGGCAGTTCTAGGGCTGAGATGTCCAAATTACTAGAGAGTGTCATTCTTGGTACCCACGTGCACTCATTTGCAGAAGGTTAAATAGGCAGAACAAAAATAACTTTAGGGAAAGACAGATCTGTTTTTAGACAGAAAATACACATTTCTACTGGCTGATCTCTTTTTAACCCTTTGCATTCTTGGAAGCATGAAGAAACCCTAACAGAAAGGTCATCAGAACTTCCTGATATAACAATCACCTGCTAAAAATAAGATTTATAAACTGTGAATGTCTCAGATTTGCTTCCATTACACTGGGAAGAGGCTCGGCACATGTGGCAGAAAAATAGTAGACTGTCAAACCCAGAGCCGAATTCATATTTTTCTACAGCAGCATCTTCCAAATTCACCACTAGCCAAAATGGTCCATTTTCATACACTTAGTCCTTGAATCTGGAAACATAATATCAGTTGAAATCTGGTCTTCAATTCAAGTCCTAAAGGGGTTAATGCTGTCTTTGGCACAGAATCAACACCTAAGTATGAACACCCAGTAAACAGAACCGTGCAAATCTGACCAACCACCCCCACAAAAGTCAAAAGAGTGAGTCTAAAAATATGAAGTGACACTTCACCCCTCATCGTGCTCAGTCCCTCAGGTGTGCACTTTCCAGACTCCACGGAACTCTTCGGCAAAATGGGCCTGCTCCCGGAAAAAGAGTTTAGCATTTGTATTTTCCTTCTGCGTTACTGGAGATCTTTAAAAAGACATAAATGTATATATGGCTGCATGTGTACGTGTAACTCTTTTGCTATGTAGGTAAATATCTTCAGTTTTAATCTAAGGTAAATTAGAGGTGACTTTGGGAAAAAAAAATCACTAAAAAGCTTAATTCTAGACATTTCTAATTTCATCCTCTGTTAATCTCTGAAACATATTTAGATGAACACGTTCAGAAAGAGGATGGTTCAGCTTGGTCTATTTTTGACACAAGCAGAGTAAACTATGTCATTGTGTCACCTACTATGAAATCTCAGCTTCAATGACGTGGGCGCTTAATCATCTGTCCTTTACCCAACCGGCCAGCCTGGGAGGTGGGAAGCCTTTCTGTTGACTAATCCAAATGCCTCCACTCCCCCCTCCCCCAGCCACACAGGGGAGAGGAGGTGGCGGGAACAGACACAGAGGGCTGTGAATACCAAAGTCAGATTCTCCACTAAAAACTGCCATCAAGACACAAGAGCAGAGAGATAAAGAGAAAGAGGAAAAATAAAAAGATGCCGCCAAATGGATACCAGGGAGCAAATGACCCTACCTTGGCAACAGCTTTGCCGTCGGAATTGTTGTTAGAATCTTTAACACCACTGAACGAATCTCTTCTCTGTGGGCATGGCTTCTTTTTGCGTGGTCTGCCTTTAAGGTTTGGCGCTGAAAACAAATGAAGAACAAATTGATGTACATTTTCATGTGCGTGGGCTTCCTTACAAAAGACCATGAGTGTTACTACAGCGGTGCCCTCTAAACTGTTCAGAGGAACGTACGCATCTCATTTTATGCTCCTCTCTCTGACGAGCCGCATCTTGGTAGACTCTACAGTTCTGTACATGCTTCCCCAAGCGAATCTACTGCACTTTAACATGTCTAATCAGTGTAAATAAAATGAAGCTCTCCGCTCTCAAGGACAATGGTAAGGAAAAGGCACTTCCCTACTGTTAGAAAATAAACATGTTGAGCTGAAAGTCAACCCGAAGCCAGGCTCGGAGATTAGTCTTTGTTTTGTTTTGTATCTGTTTTTCAGAAACCTAGGTGAAATGCAAGCCCACTATGGTATCATAGTAATGTCCCGTTTCAAAACCTCTCTCTTCAAAAGTGGAGACATGAGCAGTTTCTTAAATTATGATACAAATAAGTTGATATGACACAAATGAGTAGAGAGAGAGAGCTATAGAAAGAACATTCATAGTTAACAATCCAAAAAATATTCTTACAAGTATTTACTAATAATATTGCGACCAGCATGTTTCAAATCTCAACAAATCTGGCTGATACATTTAAATCAGCATGCTCTCTTTTTCCTTCTCAATGTAGTAAGATATCGAGGGTTATTTAAAATAACTTCCAAAGATCACACTGGGGCTAGCCTGATTCTGTGAAGATTATACTTTTTGAAAGCCACAGACAAGGTGCAAAGCAGAGTTCTATTTCATCCTTGATGTTGAGCCTGAATCCCTTTAAGATCCATACAGAAAGCAGGGGGGAAAAAAAGGCTGCTGTTTACCTCGTGCTCGGACTGTCCGGCATCAGCTTTCATATTTAGCTTCATCAGTCACGCAAGTCAAGCAAAATTAAAACAAACCGTGAAACAAGCAGCCCTTGAACAGTTCCAAACTAGTGAATTGTACCCTGAGCAGTTTTTCCCAGCCCTTTCGAGGTGCCCGCGCTTTTTTTTATTGCTTAAAGATAGGATTACGACGGTGCCAATCTGAACCACTGGAACGCTCTTAATTGTTGTTAATCTTACATCACACATTTAACCAGTGGTTTTAGGACATTTTACACTCTGCTCCTCAACATGACTCCCGCGCCCTCGCTTTTCTACCGTGGATAACAGTTGTGCTGTTGGTAAAGCCCAGAAGAGCAGAGCTGCCTTTCTAGCCCGGCAAAAGTTTAAAAAGTGGCTGTGGGGCTCTGGCTCCCCCTCCCAAACCCGTTCCCCTCTCTTCTCCCCCCCACCCCAGACGGGTGTCCAGAAGTCCACCCCCGAAAGCCAGCCTGGAGTTATCACAGGTAAACACCCTCACAGACAAAAATCAAGCAAAGAGAAAGTAGCGATTACCCATTCCAGTCGACAAACATCTGCCTGAGGATGTCTGTGCTCATGAAAGCTACAGCATGTGACTGCTTCCCGGCCACGTCCCTGGAAGTCTTGACTTGGTGTGGATGTCAGCTTCCCTCCCAACGCGAACGCAAGTGCAAGCTGCCAGGCTCAGCGCTGTGCTTACGACTCCCCTCCCCCGGCAGCTCCATTACTCATGTAAACACACAGCAGTGACTAGCACGGAGTGTGTGGGATGAGCTCTGAGGACTTTGCCGAGTTGCCAGACTGGCAGGGAGGGCTCTGCTCTCTCCCCCTCCCTGCACTGCCTTGGTGATTTCATCGGGCCTGTGTTGTGGATCCTGACCTCCTGCTCTCCTGTCACAGCCTAATGCCACCTTCCATGAACTGCCCCGGTCCTCAGCCTGGAGCCAGGGCGTGGACTATTTTGGTGTCGTGCAGAAGTGTTTCCACAACGACTTAAGTGCTAAGACTTTAATGACCGCGAGGGAATGATGTACTTTCATGTCCCTTATCAAAATAATAGCCTAGCAGAAAGCTGACAGAGAGACAAACAGAACTTAGGGTAGGTCTGAGACATTTCATTAAAAGCAACAAAACAATATCGCCTCCGTTCTCAGATTTGTTAACTGTGGTCTCTCCTTCCTAACATTTTGGCAAAAAAAGACCTCCAAAACAGTTAAACCTAAAAGCATTTATTTCCAGAAGAGCTTTCAAATCCCAAAGGCCTTTTAGATAGAACTTGTACTGAACAGGCTGTTTTAAATAAAGGCAAAGGTTCCGGGAACCGACAATAAAGTCATCCTCAAATCGGGTCTATTTTCTCCATTCTTTGAGCTGTTTTCAGAACCCAGAAAAGCACATGTGCCCTTCCCCAACAGATTCTGAGAATCGTAAATTTAGAACAGGCTAGCACCTAATATTCTGGTCACACAAACTTAAACTCTCAATGGGATTTGATCAAGAGAAAAAGCCTTTTGTTCCTAAGGAGGCAAGTCGCTGACATTTCAGGTAGGCTGGGCAAATCCCACCAATCACTCAAGCCTCAAACTCAAATATCTCTTCTCCTTTCCCCTCTGCCCTCCTTTTTCCGACTTTCTCTCATGGACGGTATCACTGTATTCTTTGTACTTTAGTTGGGTTTTATGGCTTATTATTATCCTAAATTGGAGAGTCCTTAAGGGCAGGACCATGTCAGACTCCTCTCTCACCTGCCCAGCACACACCCAGGAGGCGGCATTACATAATATAAATCTGTTGAATGAATAAGTGACTAATGGAAATAAAGATGCCCACATGTAACTCCTTCAAGTCTTCGAGCCGGACCCACACACTTGGCCTTGTGCATACCTGTCATGTTGGGCACCTGTAAACCTCTGCTCGCCTTTACTATTTACACTTGAGCTCTGGGAACATAACCCAATGACCAGGAAGTTTGCTCTGGGAATTGAGACCGAAAACCTAAGGCCTTTGGTTCCCGATGACTGTTAAGCCTTTGTGTCTGGCATCTTAGATGAGCTGTGATCTTGTACCCAGTGTAACCAGTGCCCTGATGAGCAGATGTTCAAAGTCCCAGGGAGAACAGAGCATGCAGAACTGGATGGGAGCCCCCATAACACAATTTGAAACCTTTTAGATCCATAAGACCCTGGGCAAAGCTTTGGGACCGAGGAGCTGGCTTTTGGGGGCGGGGGGAGTAAAAATTCTGGTCCCTGGGCTACTTTTGTTTTTCTTACAGAGTCAAGAAAACAAATCATTTGCAAGGGAAGTGAGTAAAAACAAATGCTTTATGGTGTGGTGGTGTTCAGGAGTGCGGGAGGCCAGCAGTACACTTATTGATAGCATAACTGGGTCTAGTTAGATCCGCTACGGAACAAACTAGTGTGAAGCAATAAATGCTCGGTTACTTTTGCATGTGTATATAATCCATGCTTATTCACAGAATTCAGTCAATGTTTTCAATATTACACATGAATAATAACAATAGCTGGTATTTATTGTGCACTTTCTCTGTGCCAGTCAGCACTTTGCATACAATACTCATTTAAAATTCACAGCAAACCAACGGGAAGGCGCCATTATTATCCCCATTTTCCAGACCAGGAAACTGAGACAGCCATGGAATTAGTTGTTTTAGGTCATGCAACTGGTTACTGGTAACAGGATCCAACGCGGGCAACTGGACTTTATCCAACATCCCTGCTTTAAGTAACTTCTAACAGACACACACACTCAGTCTGTCTCATAATGAGATATTTATATTATTAACTTGGGCCGGCAGTCACCAGGGAGCTTTCCTTAAATGAAAACAGTCAAATACCACGACACAGTACAAGGGAACTAAAAGCCCATCTCAGGCAGCAAACAGCATCCTCCAGACTTGAGGCAGGGTAGGGTCCCCATCAATCCTGACTCAGCAGTAGGTGACAGACTTCCACTAAAGCTGCAGAGTTCCAATAAAACTTCGTGTGCCACGCACATCACCCCTTTGTAGGGGGCCACTGACTATTCTGCCCACTGCAGAAGAACAGTGAAAGATCTCTGTGGTTTAAAAAAAGAAAATCTTTCCTCTCTGACTGCCCATCTGTTCCTCTTACTCAGGGCCATGAAATTAACAAGTATTCACCTTTGTGAAGTCACTGCTATTTCTATAGGCATTAATCCCAGGAGAGTCGGCAACCGGCCACTTTGACATCTCATCCACATCTCATCCACGTGTTTTGTCTTCTCCTTTTTTAAAACTCATTCAAATATCAATAAAATATAGCTTTCTTAAAGACAATATAGCAAAACAAGGTTTTTGTTTGTTTGTTTTCTTAAAGCATCTAAAGTTCAGAGTTTCCAGGCATTCGTTTATATATTCACTTCTCTATGGGTTTTGCCAAAGTTATGTGTCAGGACAGCACAGGTGTGGGAAACTTTCAGCTCAACCCCAACCCTTGAAATAATAATAATAAAACAAAGGAAATGTAACCAGTTACTGGCAAAGTAAATTGCTTTTGGCTTAAACGTCCCTGTTTTTTTTCTACTGTGTTCTTCCTGTCATGACCGTCTCTCTTTTTTTATAACATTTATGCTCTTGGAAATACCACGAAGATAAACTGCTATAAAAGCTGGATTGACTCATCAGTTAACAACTCTTTCTTCTCATTTTGCAGAGACGATTTTGTTGCCAGCGCAGCTCCATATTCTCTCGAGAAATTCTTTGTGAGCTTCCACTTAGAGATAGGACTTGCTTGTTGGTGGGGGACTGCAATTAGGAGGATGGAAAACCAGGCATCATTTTCTTAAGAGTCTGACCCTCTAGGGTCAATATCTAGAGGAAGTTGGCAGAGCGTTAACTCACTTGATTTGCAAGTTGTGCGTGCGTGTCCGCACTCGGGTGTGTGTGTGTGTGTGTGTGTGTGTGTGTGTGTGTGTGTGTGTTTTAAACACCAAACACAAGCCAGAAAACTAAAGTCCACTGACTGATGCATTAGGGACTGAGAAACATTGGTCCATGTATAATGCACATTGCTGATAATACTTTGCATTTCTGTAATGCCTTTCCTCTGAGGACCTCAATTCTCTGCTACATTTTCTTTGTAGACAA